AAACAGCAAAACTTTTTGGACAGAAGTTTTCCATGTGTAACTAAAATATGCAATGGTTTTGTTAAAAATATATTCAGTCTATTTTAACAATTATTAATGAAAAAGGTTTGTTTTAATTTTAAACTAAGATGACTATAATCAGACTATAATAATCAGATTCTTTAACCAATCTGATTATTTGATGGGCTTTTATTTCCAAGTATAAGGTTCAGTTCAATTATCTTTGTGCTTCTTCTTCTTCCAGGTGTATAATTATAAACAATTTTAAAGCAAACTGCATGTATCTAATTATGGCACTTTTATTCCATCCTATCAACAGTACTTATTGAGGATCTACTAGAGACTAGACACTTACTATAGATAAGTGTAGTTTAAAAAAAATAAATAAATAAGACCCGCTCCCTATAGTCAAGCAATTTTTGCTCTAGATATGTTTACCTGAATAACTTAATGTGAGAAAAACTTTAGTGTCTAAATCATAATAGTATTCACAGAAGTTAATAAAATGAAAGTAAAATTTGAAACAATATTTAACTTTTTTCAATCTTTATAAATAAATTTTAATCTATTTCTTTAAAAAATGCTATAACTATTTTTTACACGCTGTTTTTCGTTATTAGACTCTAAAGTTTGTCACTCACTCATGCATTTGAAATAAAAGCAAATCTTTACAATAAAAATAAAACATTTCTGTACTTAAGAAAATGCCCATTTGCCAAATTTGAGATACAATAAATCAGTTAAATGTGAAAAATGAATTTTATATTTATCAAAATACATTCTGTATCATCAACTTAATGGGAAGATAAAAGAATTACTTTAAAGTATTTTTGCATACATTTTTATTCTATATAACTTTGAAGGTCATCAAAACAGTCAGTTATAGAGCTGTAAAGTTACTCCAGACGTAAGAATTTTACCATTATCACTTTTCACTTTATGTAAATTGAATGAATTATATTATCATAGCTAGAATACTTAAACAATAATTAACCCTATGATTCAGTACCTATTTTTAATAGCACATTTTCTTCTAGATTGTTAGTAACTGTATTGATGGTTGGTAGGGGGCTACCATTTTTCCTAGTTATCTGCATATATTATACAGCACTATCTTTAGTAATTTCTTGTTATGCTTGCATATACTAGTTGGTTAAGGGTGGGAATAGTAGCAGGGAATTCCCAATTGCTCTTATGAATTTGCAATTGAGAGATTGCAATTCTAGGTTCTGGCTCTTTTGCTACTAGAAATGCATAATCATTTAAAAATACATGTACCCTTATTGGGTCATGCTCTTTCTAGGAACATGTAGGTCACATACCATCTCCTGATATTATTCCCTTGCACACAATACCATAGATATGTAATTATGAAATAGGACTTCATTCTTTGCCCCTGGGGAGAATAAAAAGTTATACAGCTGTGTAAAACTGAGATACCCCTCTCCAATCTATAACCAAGAGAGTTGTTCTTAGGAATGGACAAAAGGAAGACTGTGAGGAATTAAATTTAGTTTTAATATTGTTCTAAGTTTATTAATTTAAAAGGGAGGGTAAGTTTTCAGTTGTTTGTCTGAAATGGCAACAAATGTAAATAAAATTTTAAGATACAATTTTATCCCCTAAGTTTATAGTAACATTATGTTTTTATTTGTACTTACATTATGGTAATTACCTAAAAAAACTGAAGAAACTGTAAGGAAAAATATGTCTAACATAGCTAATAAAAATAGTTTTGCTTGGATGCTATGAACTAAACAGGTGGTATTTTGGCATACATTTGTTATTGAGAAAGAAATGGCTAAAATACTAATTGTCATTTCTTCCCAAAACATAAAATTTTCTGTATTTTAAATAATTTTTTCATTCACAATTATTTCTTCCAAACTTTCTCAGTGTACAAGTGTAAAATGTAATCTACCTTTTGAACATCTCTGAACATTAACAGAAGATATAAAGATATTCAAAAAGGGTAGTTGTGACAGGTACTTTGAAGCCATTAATCACATATTTGTGTTTGTTAGTGATGTATTAATGTCCCAAAGTTGGTCTAAGTAGTTACAAGAACACAGAATAAAAATCATGAGCTTGGAGAAACATATTTTCTAACCAGTAGAACATCAATACGCCACAAATATTTTCTCTACTGACAAACCGTAGTGAGGTAAAAATGCCTTACTGCAGTAACACCTTACCTTGAGGTTAGATGCCATCTATCTATAGCTAAGGCATCAAAAAAAAAAAAAAAAAAAAAAAAAAAAAAAAAAAAAAAGATATAATTCCTAACATACAAAAAACAAAACTCAGACTATTTTAGGAGTCTGCAATTTTTCATAATAATTTCATGTTTAGTCATAATTTTACGATTTGTAATATTTTCAATTTTTCTGCTTTTTTTTTTTTTATTAGAGATGAGTTTTAACATTACTGGTGTCCAAAACAGGTAAAGAAAAGGGTAAAATATAGTGGACGAGATGAAAAATATAGCGATGACCTCACATTTGTGTAGTTCTCTAGAATTTACAAAGTGTTTTTGGATGGCACAACAACCTCAAACTGAAGTCCAGATTAGAATATTAAATTGATCAATTCTTTATTATTATTACTAGCATTGTTTTACAAACTGTGAGGAAATTCATTACAGAGTACAGAGATCTGGTACTCATTCTGAGGAGTGAAATGTAATGACTAAACACAGTACAAACAGTATAACCTATTTCACGTTTCCTAGAAAAGTTATTTGCTTTGGGTAAGTAAATAAATCCTTTCCAATCAGAAACAACTGTTGCAAATATGTAAATTTTAGATAATCAAACACTGTCCTTTGAAATAGTCTATTTATTGTAACTCCAAAAATCATGCTGGGGATACTTTGCTTAATCTCAGGGAGCATTATACATTTCACACATTGAACATTTTATTTTCTAAAAAAGGCCATTGAAATTGAGTATCTCTTTATTTTGGTGGAGGGTATTATGATCATTTTTCTCTAACTTTTAGATGTCAGGGAATAGTATTTGGATTTTACATAGGTATGTTTTATTTCTTCAGAATGCAAGCTCTGATTTCAGATTTAGTCAGAAAAGAGATACACATAAATCTATATGACCAGAAGAGATAAGTAGATCGTAAAAAGTCCACACACATCATAACCCTGCACATCTAACACACAGATAAGGACAGTTACAGATTATTATGGCATGGATAACTTGATAATCTATGGTGAATCTATGATAAATTTCAAACTATAACAAATACAATGACTCATATTTTTTAAGGAAACAAACCACGAAGGCATAAATTTACCCTGAGATTTGTGTCACTAAGAAACTGAATAGTTCAAAGTCAAACATTATATGACATGCTTTAGATTGCTCTTATGAAAGGCACTATAGAAATGTCACCCTATTATAACCTACTGTATTTAAGAATTAACTGCAGCAGAACAGCCACGGGAGATGAATATATACTGATGTGATCATCCCCTCCTATTACTCACCAGTAGTTAATACAAAGCACGCTTTAGAAAAGAATGTATAAGACAAAGAAATAAACACAGTGTTAAAAAAGGACTGCATTTAATATCAGGATTTTTTTATTAATTCTAACTGATCCTTATATTATAGTATTTTATCTGTAATAATAGGAGCCTTTCATTTAAATGATGCCATCAGTATGCCACAAGCGGATTCTTTCTTTAGTGGGAGGAGTTAGCAGCTCCAACATTCAATTGACCTGTTTCCAAATAATCTACAGGAAAAAAATGAAGATTAAGTCCTCTAACAAGAGCAGTTTTCACAGCCTTGCATACAAAGAGAAGGATTTGGTAAAAAGATGAGAGGGCAAGCCGCATTGTGCTGGCCCACTTAAATCTTATTTCCAATTCACTAAATGTGTTATTTGACTTGGCAAGTGAGCTAGTATGTGTATTAGATCAGCAGGGAGCCTAATCAAGGAGATGCCAAGTTTACTGCAGCCCCTCTGAGCTGCATTAGCCTCAACTAGTGACCTTAAGCAAAGTGGGTGGTTGAACCCAAAAGAGAATAGCATTAACTTTTGCTTGAAGTTCAGCCTGAAGTCTCCTTTTGTGCCTTATTCCAAAAAAAAAAAAAAAAAAAAAAATGCAAAAAGCATTTAACAGAATTGAATATAACAGAATTGAATCTAGTCTGCTCAGCACCATCTTCACAGGCAAGGCTTCATAGAAGCTTGCCTCCATTAATGCTGACACATGCAAAAGAAATGAAAAGCATTAACTCAGCTGAGGCACTTGATTTTGCAGCTGCAGAACAATTCACTTTGTAACTCAGTAACTAAGATGGGGTTTTTCCGCCCAGATAAATTGCTAATTTGCTAATTGATACAAAAAGTATTTTCAAATATTAAATAAACTGCAAATAAAGCAAAAAGAAAAAGAACACTAAATTACAAGGACACCTGAAAGATATATAGCTTAGTATTAATAGATACACATATTTTTAAAGACCTCTTTTACCTTGTACACAGCATTGAGCATCCATTTCCAATTGCATATAATAGCTTGGATGTATATGTGAACTCTTCAACGATGTATTTTATACCAAGTAAAATGCAAACCTGTATAGTTAAAAAATGTTGCTATATAATAAATTCAAGCAATAGATTTATCTTTAGAAACATCTTTGTTCTCAATTTGGTCTCCCTATTTTAAACTTTCCATCTTGTCTATATACTCAAAGACTTCTAATAATGTCAGTTTTACACATTGTTTAGAAATACTTCGAAAGCTATCTTTAATTCCAGGATGTTCGACTCAGAAATACTCATACAGCAAAGATTGGTTGGATATGAAGATTATAAAGTTATTGAAGCTCAAAACCAGAATATTTTATAAGACCTTCTGTAATGCCTTTGGTTGTAAAAGTTTTCTCTTTCCTTAACAGAACATAAGGCAAGGTTCTTTTCTTTTCTTTTTTTATTCATCCTTCATTTTCCACTGTTTATTCGGCTTCCCTCCTCAGATCTGAACCAAAGCCAAGCAAAGCACCATCACCTTCTGGAAAGTGCAGAAACTGCAATCAAGATCAACAAAGAAAAGCACCCTTCTCATAGATTCATCTCTTTGGCGTTTAAGTGTTGGGGCGAGTCTACAAAACTCAGATTCCTCATTTAACTAGATGTTCCAGGTCACGGCGATATTCTACTGAGGCAATTTTCAAAAGACCATAAAACCACCACATCAATTTATGCTTGCAGGTAGTATAATTGCCTTTATATCATATATTTTTAGAAAAAGTGGCTTAAAACAATTTGAATAGTGCTTTAGAAATAAGACCCTTAAATAATTGGCACTGGTATTGCGTTTCTTAACTCTGGGATTTCAAAACATTTTCCAAACATTAATTGCAATGGGCCCCCGGTGAGGCTGATATTATCACACCTATTTTCCAAGACGATAAGCAGGGAGCGCGGGGCCCATTTCTTGTCTTGCCCCATGCCCTTCAGAGCTTGTCCAAGCTCAGAGCTCCCTTAAAAACCATTGGATCAGCTCCATGGGAGCACAGAGGAAAATGAGAAATGGGCTCTTGGAGATTTAAGGGATTTTGTAAGGTCGTGTGTGAGTGAGCTGTAGCTAAAAGTCAAAGCTGGAAATCTAAGATTCCTTATTCAGCGCTTGGATATATTTCCTCATTAAGACAATTCATGTAGAATATCAGGTTTACAGGAATACGCTGGTAAGAAGTGGACTCTGTTGCTGTTGGTTTTTGAGTAACTTATTTAATAACAAAAATGTCTTCTTTTGATTTGAATAAAAATAAATGGCTGGATTTTCACAGGCAGCATGCATAGAAGACCAGCAAGGGCCAACGATGAATTTCGACACTGACTTTTAAAAATTGTGAAAGAGATGCTAACAGCCTAATTTGCAGTGGAGACTAGATTCTGTGGCTGTATCAGGTGGTGGTATAAAGAAGAGCCATATACAGAAGGTGAAATGAGGGGTTAAAAGTCACGCTAAACATGCTGCAAGGACCTGTGGGCATCCCAACCTTTTTTTCTTTAATTGGGAGGAGAAGAGCTTTTTACTAAAGAGTAAGTTCCACAATGTAGGCCGGCAGCCCAACTGGGAAATACTCTTGATTTGAACAGTTTGCAGCAGTTCTTTTCTGAACTCTTTATATAGATCCTCTTTCAATACTGAGACACATATTTTAAGGTAAAAAGGGTATTTTACTAATTTTTTTAATGAAGCTTTGACTGCAAGCAATACTTGGAGTTGGTAATCACCGGCTGGTTCTTCCCTCTTGCACTGCAGGAATGAGGCCACTTTCACAGCTGGTTGTCAGCACAGCTCTTATTACTAACACCAATTATTGATTTTTAAAAGGCCTACGCTATTAGTACCCTGCTACATCTCTTCTCGTACAATATGCGTTTTAAAAATTCCTTTTGTAAAAATATAAAATCTGAGTTCAACCTTTCTATCATCACTGTGCTTGTTCTTTACATTTTATCTTATACCTTCACAGGAAAGCAAACCAGGAATCTTTTTAAAAAAAAAAAAAAAAAAAAAAACTTTTGGGCTAATTTAGAAGCAGAAATACTTTGCCCATATGATCTCTCTGGAAGGTAGCACGTTATAAAAAAGCAAAGGGTGCGTAGTAAGGGAGGATGAAAGAACACAATTAGAGAGTTTAGGATCTTCTATCCCCTTTTCTCTGCCTTTATTTCATGCTATCCCAATCTATGTTTAAGCCAATCATAAAAACCCACCTGGCCTCATCCCCACTAGCATGCTTGCTTTTGCATAGGACTGCACCCCAAATTGGACTTTTCTCTTCTCTTTGAAAGTTCTCAACGAAGGTCAATTTTAGGATTTCTTTCAAAAGACACTATTCACACGTCACTCACTCTGGTTGTTGATATATTGTCCAAATGATAGGCAGTTCTGAGAATATTTATCTCCAGCAATATTTATACGTGTATTAGTTATGTAGAGCTGGTATAACAAAGCTCTACGAAAACTCGACAAAGCTCACCAAAAACTGGATGGCTGAAACAGCGGACATTAACGTTCTCATAGTTCTAGAGGCTAGACATGACCATCAAAGTGTCAGCAAGGTTGGTTTCTGCTGAGGGATGTGAGGGAGAATCTGTTTATGCCTTTTACCTAATTTCTGGTAGTTTTCTGGAGATTTGGGCATTTTTTGGATTATAGATGCATTTTCTGGTATCTTCCTTCCTGCTCACATAGTATTCTCCCTGTGTGTGTCTATGTCTGTGTCTAAATTTCCCCTCTTTATAAAGACTCAGTCGTATTGATTAGGGGCCACCCAAATGATTTCATCTGCTAGGATCCTATCTTCAGTTAAGGTCACATTTACTGAAAGAAAGCACTTCAACAACTTTTTGGGCAACATAATTTAAACCATAACAAGGTTTGTTAAATGTCATATATATGATATTTTATATAATCATTATTATCATATATTATATATAATCAAATTCTATTCTATTATTTACAAAATACATGGTGATCATAAGAGAATATTTTACAAATTACACGTGGGAAAAGTACATGACATTATTAAAAAGTCAGTGCCAATGCCTCGGCAGAGAAAAATTAGTGTATTAATTAGTTACCCTCTGATGGATAGTTTCTAGGTAATAGAGACAGGTATTGGTAAGCGAAATGGAATTTTAATTTCATGAGGATGCTAGAAAATTGCAAGTTGGAAGATCAATTTTATTTACTCCATCATTAACGTGTTGTAAGTGAATATCTAAAGCAAGCTTGTCCAATCTGCGGCCTGTGGGCTGCATGTGGCCCAGGATGACTTTGAATGTGACCCCAAACAAATTTGTAAACTTTCTTAAAAGATCATGAGGGTTTATTTGCGATTATTTTTCTTTTTGCTCATCAGCTATTTTTAGTGTATTTTATGTGTGGCCTAAGACAATTCTTCTTCTTCCAGTGTGGCCCAGGGAAGCCAAAAGATTGGACACCCCTGACCTAAAGTATAATCCATACTCTGATAGATGGTTTTCAGTAACACAAATTCAACATAAAACTGAACATACATTTTCATGAGCAACTACTAGGTTCCAGGTACATGACTGCTATAGAGCATTAGAGTTCTAATACTAAGTAAAGAAGTGTGTGTGTGTGTTTTATATCAAGTACAATTTAGCCAGGAGGAGTGAAGTATAAACCGATCATCGAAATTTAGAGGGCGCTATAAAGAAAACCCATATACATGGAAGAAAGAAAGAGAAGAAGCAGGGTCAACTTCTTAGTTGTGAGGAAGGATCTTGAAGAAAAGATTACTCTGTTTTTGCATTGCCATAAAGAAATACTTGAGGCTGGTTCATTTATAAGAAAAGAGGGTTAATTGGCTCACAGTTCTTCAGGCTGTATAGGAAGCATAGTGGCATCTGCTTCTGGGGAGGCCACAGGAAGCTTCCAGTCATGGCAGGAGGCAAAGGGGGAACATCACATGGCGAAAGCAGGAACAGGTGAGAGCCAGCAGCGAAGTGCTGCACACTTTTACACAACCAGCTCTCCTGTAACTCACTCACTGTCATAAGAACAGCAGCAAGGGGATGCTGCTAAATCATTCATGAGACTCCAATCCATGAGCCAATCACCTCTCACCAGGCCCAGCCTCCAACATTGGGGATTACAATTAGACAATTCATATGAGATTGGGGTGGGGACACACATCAAAACTATATCAGATAATGATAATATGACTTAAAAAAAAAAATCTGTATAGTCTCACCTAACAGTGGCCTGTCTGAGGCAGGAAGACAAATGGAGTTCATGTCTCTAAATATTTGCAATTATAAATTAAGTTAACAAAATTACTACCTAGAGTATATTCAAATGTTCTACCTTGTCAACTATAGCTTTTGAGCAAGGAAATATAAAACTAAGTGCATGAAAAAATTTTTATATGACTGGAGAAAGAAAAATATTAAACATGATGGAATTTGATTATTGCCCATATTTAGATCTTCTGTTTATGAGTAAGGACATTTAAATTAGTAATAAAAGAAACATATATAGTTTATAAATATATGTAAACATTTTACAACATTTATTTTTCCTACCTTTGTTTCAATACAATTCAATAATTTTACTCATATTTTCAGATTTGCAGAGATTATGAAAAAACTCACTTTTAACCTGAGATTTTTAGTTTTTTAGTTCAAAAGTATGTATTTTTTAAATTAAATTTAACTGTTTTGGTAACATTTTATCCACATTACCATCATGTGTGCCAAAAAAAAGGTCAAATTTGATATGTGATTTGCTTTTCAAGAAATAAATTTAATCATCTGGATAACTGAGCAATAGAATGCTAAATATACACTTACTTAAGAAGATAGATAATATTGCAGTTCTGTATTTTTCTACTTCTTACCTGATTTCAAAATGGTGATTTCCATAAAATTTCTTGGCAATTCTAAAAGATAGTAGAAACAAATCAAAATGAGAAACAAATATAAATAAAATGCAATATTTTATTTGACTTTTGAAAATATATGCAGTCTTAAAGCTATAAACCTTGTAACACCAGACCTCCAAAACATCTGGATATAAGGTATTAAATAACATTTGCATGTCTGATTTTTTTTCACATTTCTCCTAGTTTTGGTATAGTGGAGATGCAAATTGCAAAGAATCAAGGAAGTCTTCCTGATCTATAATTTTTTTTTTTTCTCAATAGTTTTCAAGGAAAATGCAGCCAGGCTTGGTGGTTCGATCATTTGAAATCTCTAAAGGAGTTTAAATATAGGTAAACATCAGCGTGAAATCATAAAAACAAAACTGGTTGTTATTTCCAACTGCAATGATTCAATGTTGATGCTCACCCAAGGCAATCCCTTGGTTCCATCTTCTGACACTATATTAGAATGTCAACTTGTGGATTTGCTTTAGCTGTTAATAAGAAAATTTGTCTTTATCATGAAGATTGGATCTTGGGTCTTCATGTCAACATTAAAATGATAATAGAGTGATAAAACACAAAATACCTGGGAATATTAAAGGATCTGAATCTTCTAACTGGGTACATAGATACTTGAGCACATCAAATGAATTAGTGTTAACCATAAGTGTATTATGTAACTCAAGTAGATGGTGTGGCCCTGGAATTCCTGAAAGTTGCCTGTTGTTTAACATGCTGGCAGAACTTGAATGTTGCCACCACTCTCCCCTCACTTCACTCCCTAGGGGCCTAAGCAGAGCTTATTAGACTCCAACTTCCAGAAAATGGGCTATGTCTTAAACATATCTAAGATTATTACTATAGAAATGTTATTGTTTAATTTTAATGAGTATGCTGATCATTTAGGTTGACAGTCCTTGTCACAATTTATCAAAGACAAATTAGCATAGTTAGCGTCACCAAAAGGAAACTCTTAAAACATAAGTGTTTTCACTTCTTCTGATCTGGCACTTTTCCTATAGAACTATATATCACTTTAGTACTTCTTAATTAAAAGTGATGTCTTCCTCCAACTTAGATCTGTACTGCAAGCATTCCCTGTCCCATGTTTCTTTTGATTTACAAAGTACAATATAAAGCTGGATTACATTATCTTCAAATAAAATCAACACCAACGATGTTGCTTTGAATGGTTTATAACAGTGATTTCACTAGATGCAGTAAAAATGCACAATATCTGGGAATTAGAAATTTTCTCTTTTCAAATATTGAAACATTTCCCTTTCTTCTAAATTAACATTATATTTTATTAACCTATAAAATCTCATACTATATGTGTACTTGACTTCTAATATGTTAAATTTAGGGTATCTCTTTTTACCAGGTATTTATTAGCTATTAAATATCTAGAATAATTATTTAAAAATGTCTATTCCTTTTGTAAATTTAGAGGCTATAGATACATCAAATTATAATTATGTAACATTTTATTTTTAGATGAAAATTTTATTGCGATAATTGTATATTCACATGTAGTTGAAAGAAATAATAAAGAGATACTGTGTATACTTTACCTAGTTCCTGCTAAAGGTAAGCTACAGTATAACATTAGCCTAGGATATTGACCTTGATATCAGTTTTATCCAGCTTTCCTCAGTTTTATTTGTACTCATCTGTGTGCATGTATATTTAGTTCTATATACTTTTATCCATGTATTGTTATCAATATTTAATATTGACATGTAAATATTTTCTTACATTTTAAGTATTTATTAACAGTTGCTTGTGAATTACATGACATATAATCAATCCTTAAAAATATAAAATGACTACTAAAAATAGGTTTCTTTTAGTATTCTAATTGATAAAAACATTATTTTTAGTCTTGGCTAAATATTACTATCAAGTAGTTTGTAAAGGTTGACTAATGGCTCCCCAAATGAATAGTTTAAAAACATTATTGACTTTTTTTCCTTTTGAATTCACACCACAGTTTTTAACTAGAGGTTCAAAAGAGGTTAAGAAATACGAATCCATTTTCAGTATTTGGGGCATCAGCTCATTAAGAGTAATAGAGCAGGCTTCCAGTTTGAAAAAGGCACTGACTCAAATGTGTAATGATTTCACTTTCAAATTTCTTTTATCTCAGCTGCTTCTACTTCAACAAATACAAGTGCTTCAGATATAATAAGAAGACTAATGAGCATTGCAGATGATTACAACAATACTTCCCAAGGCATAATGACATTTTTTTCCCCAAATTAAGAAAAAAAAAAGGTTTTTTCTTGTTAGAGTCTTTATTGCCTGAATATGACCTCAGTTAAAACCAGGAACCCAACTTTAGAACAAATCTATGAATAAGTATTTTTTGAGTAAGATTTCTCAACTTATAAGGGAAGTTTTATTAACTTTAGCAAGGACTATGTATGTGCTACAGGATTACATCCTTAAAATAAAATGTGCCAAAACGGGTCATTTGACATCACTGCCTCATTGCTGTTCGGAGTTGGCATTTTGCTGATCACCTCACCGTGTCCTCTTGGGTACTTTCTCTATAAAGTGGTTACAAGTCCAGTCTTCTGATGTTATAGTTGGATGCACTATACAAAAGGGTCATTTTCTACTAAGTACCTTACTTGCTTCAGAGCCAGAGTGCAACTCTTTCATCAGTCACAGTTTTGAAACAGCAGGGGTACAATGTATCAGTTTGTTCAAAATAGACATTGTGCTGTTTTTGGAGAAATTGTGACAAATCGGGAAAGAATTTATAACCAACACTATACACATAACTTAAAAAACAAAAAAATAAAGTGCATAATCTGACTCACAAAATGAGACATCTGCAAACCACTACAGCAAATTGTATAATGAACAGCCTCTCCAGGGTCCCTTCTTATAATTCAAAGCTGTTTTTGGCTCCCTTTCATTCTGAGTTTGAAGACAGATTATTTTACAAGGTACATCAGCCTTTAGGGAATAGCAATTTCCTCTTTCCCTCAGCCTTGCCTCCCCACAACACAAACGTAACTTTTTAAACTGTTTATCTTTGATCAAAAATATATTACTTAGCATACTAAGTAAACAGCCGAACAATTTGTCATAGAAATTATTGCTTCCTGTGGCTATTTTTAGTGGCTTTTTTCCCCCATATTTTCTGGGCAATTGGTATTAAGGCTGATAACCCTGCCATTTGTTTCTGTAATGATCTCAGAAAAACATTTTGAAATACGATCTGCTCTTTAGTGTAATGGATAAACTACTATGCTGCCAGGAATTATACCCAACTTCCTCGCTCAATAGTCATGGGAACTTAAACAACAACCACAACCCACACACATAATGCAGGAAACGATACGGAACACACATATTACATTTCTGTGGTGATGTGGTTACCAAGAATGGCCGCTCTAGCATTGCTGAAGTATCAGAAATATTAAGTCAAGATGATGCAAAATATGAAAATGCTGATATACTATACTCAATTGCAAATTATTTCGCTGTTTGAAAGTTTACGAGCCACCTATTAAATGATGAATTTTCTCTAAGATAATGTATTTAAATATAAAAAAGAAAGCATTTTAAATAGAATGCCATTCAGTTTTGCTTTTTGCTGTAATACAAAATCCTTCTCAGTGCAATATATATTTGCAATGCTTCTATTATTATTGAATACAGCTTTGTTATCTTTATCTTAATTTGAATTTGAAAATATTATAATAAAACAATCAGCATGCTTCTATTGTTTATTATTTATAAATTCTTTTTAATATCAATATTAGAGAAGTTATATATTTGGACACATTGCCTATTTTTCTGTTTCCAACAATTGCTGTGGATGATTTATTATTTGTATATTTTTATTTTTTTAACTATAATTTTGGAACTACACCGCATCTTATGTTTGGAATAGACCTTAAAAGTTAGGGGTTATCAGTTCTACTTGTTTCTTCTATGTCTGACATATATCCAGAGCACATAAAACAAGTCTTTACTTGTTTTCTAATACTTACTGATTGTACTGTGGATAGTTTGAATTTAGAGACAAATATTTACTTCCTTTTTATCAAAAATATATCTATTATCCTACTTCTTATGTTTAAGTGAATGCTTTCATTTTGTTTCTTAATATAGAACTACCAATAATTCCATGAATGGTGAAAGAAAAATAAGTTTTGTTGTTTCTCTTCTAATATCTGTCTTAATCACTAATCGGATAATTTAAAGTATATATATATATATATATATTCTCTCCATATATAGAGAGAGAGAATTTCATGCTCCATACTATGCTTCCCAAATCCTCTATCCCTTAAAAAGATTATGGAACCTGGAACCTGGAGAGAGAGAAAAAAATGAAGTCAAACAATATCTCAGAAATATAGAGACTCGGGATCTGTGAAGTCACTTCTGATGTGGAGATGCTTTTTGAAGTTTTAAAATGACAGTGTTGAAACATCTCTCTGCCTCCCCTTTGCGCTCTCTCACATCCGCTTAAGTGTCTTTGTCAGAAATATTCTTCTGGCAACTGTGACTCAAGCCAAGAATTCTCTACAGAATTCTTAAAAATATTTGTTAACAAATGAGAAAGTTTATTACTGAGGGCAGATCTCATTTTAAAAGTGTTATTCTATTACTAAATGTGCAAAATTGGATACATATATATAGACACACACATATGTATATATGCACACAACTGCTTAGCAATCATGTTATATATTCCTCAAAATTTCATTTATCTTTATGGCATAAGACTATCTAGAGTAATTCTCAATGTCTGTTTTCTGACCAAGAGAAGGTGGAGATGTAAAATGATATTAATTTTTCTTCCTAAAATTGTCATAGAAACATGTTAAGTCCTTAGCTTCCTGGTCCCCACTGAGGTCCAGAACACATGGGTAGATAACATAGCAAAATCAAAGATCACTTGATTTTACAAGATAAGTTTCACATCTCATCTTTTACAACCCAAAAGGAACATAAGTTCAGAACAATAATAAAGCTAATATGTATGTTTTTATTAACAATCTTGTATGATCTGAGCATATGTTGTGTTTTAGGAAGCAATAGTTGAACTACAGAATTTCAATATTGTAAAGAATTATAGAAATTATAATGCAGGACAAAAGAAAAAAATTCTATATAGCCTCTATTAGATTCAAATTAGTATGATAAGAAAAATATACAACCAAAGGTATAATTTTGTCATCACTTCAAACTGTCAAGCACAATTTAAGAAATGTAAGGAGTATGCCTGCACAAAGAAAATCTGGCAATACTTTTCCAATTTTCCTAACGCCTAGGATGTAGGCAGAACATACTGATGAAAAACAATTACCTAATAAAATTCTGATATAAGATATAAGAAAATAATCCTGCTTAACAGAAGTGCAATTTAATCATTCAATTTTATTACATTTTTTACATTTTCAAATTAAAGTAGAATGCTTAAAAACAGAGAAGTAGCTTTGAAAAATTTTGAATGATTAAAAAAATGAAGAGTAAGTGAGAAAAATTCCAAAGGAAAATGGGTGTAAATTAATGCAAACAGTACTTGAGAGACGTCGTTCTGAAGGATAGCTTTTTGTACAGATCCATTTTAAAAATCTCAATTATTCAAGGAATGCATTGATTTTAACATCTTTTTTTCTTCACAGGCTTTGTTATGAAAATAGGTATATATAATGAAGTGGGCTGCAAGGAAATTACATTTTGCAAATACTCTCCTCTTATATCAAAGATAAGGGCCATTCAAGAGTCTCATATATTAGACTAGCTTTGTCCCAGTGGAAACATAAAGGAAATTGTGACAAAATATACATTTTTCTTGATCAGTTAAGACTGTACTCTAGTAAGTAGCATTTTTTTCCCCAGAATAAAACTTTTTGCTCCCCTTTAACTCTTCCACAGTGTCAGTAGCGGCACATCAAAGTGCAGACGAAGGCAAGTGGGATTGCCACGTGCTCTCGTCTGGCTCTGTTCAGTCAATCGCTATGAGATTCAATTTTATTTTGAGCAATACCTGGAAGAACATATGTAAAAGTCCCTAATAGTACCTGATCCAAAACTGGTTTTTAAAAGACAACTACTCTGTTTTACTTCTTGACATGTAACCAGAGATCTTGGTATGATTTGATTTAGTCTGTTATCTCTGTGTATTCCTCCCGGTCAAATTCCTTAATTACACAAAACCCGTGTCCTTGGAATGAACATTTGGGTGACTTTATAGGCTATTTATTTTTCTTAAATCTAGCTCTCTCATGATGAATACTAATATCTGCCATAGAGTACATACTTCTATATGCCGAGTGCTTTGTGTACATGGATATCATGATCCTTCTATTATAATGAAATGAAGGCTCAGAATGTTTATTTCAAAAGGCTCAAACCACCCTGCTGGAAAGTTTCAGAGTCAAAATTCAAACGTAATCTGTCAGATTTCAAAGCAGGTTCTCCTCTGAATATGACACACTGACCTCTTTGACATCTTTGTCCCATTATCTCAAATTGTGTGACATGTAAAAAGTTGGCCAATTCTAAAAAAATCTAAAATGTCTTCATACTGATGCCCACGGCTTTCTTGTATAGACTGTTTAGAAGTGTTTCTTGAAATTCAAATGTTGTTTTCTTTTGCATTGATAATCTTCCATTTTGTAGACACTATTAAGGGTTAACTGAGTCCTTCTAAAATAATATGTTCCCCCATACCACAACACAAAACGAAACAAAAATGAACAACGCAACTTCTTTAAACATTAACTTTGGTCTATAATGTTAAATGTGATTTTTAATTTAGAGGATTTTGTAAGGGTACTTAAAATGTAAGTAAAGAGAGAGCATTCTTATTTTTTGCATGGTATATAACTTTCAAAGTGACTGGGTGAATAAAATAATTTTAGAAGTGAAATTTGTATTAATCATAGAACTTCTAGGAATGGCTGGTAATGCAAAAAAATGATTTTCAGTCTGCTTTCCCTAGGATACAACTTCCTTTCTTCAGGGAAAGCTAAGCCAAGTTATCATGGATACAAACTGGCTGTGGTTGGGCCGGCAGCCACTTAACGTATCCCTTAGCTGATAATAAAGTGTATGGTCAGCAGCTGATTTTAAAAAAGAGAGAAAGAAAGAAAGAAAGAAAGAATAAAGAGGGAATGGAAGAAAGGAGTAACAAAAGCACCACTAGAAGATACTATGATAGTGATAAAAACAGGGATACAATCTAATTTGCCTCAACATTGGATGTCAAAATATTTAAATAAAACAATTATACTTGTATAATACATCGTTATTATAAATAAATTCTTTAAAACTTGTCCAACATAGAGAAGATACTATAAAGAAAATTTAATTATCTGCTTCACTATATGCTCCTCAATAATAGAAATCTTTGTTTACTTTCTTCAATGATGTGTGTAAAGTATCTGGATCAGGCCTGGAACTTAGTAGGTATTCAATAAATATTTTATGCTTGACTTAATTATTTCATAATATTCTAATCTTGTATTCTGATGTTAATAAAGAAATTCAGGAGAAACAAGTTTTACTTTTGAATATTTAAGCATTTTATGTGGAGTTCTAATTTTCATTTGTATAAATGTTTAATATCATGGATATTAAAACTACTCTTCCATACGGGATCTTGTGCCATTTTAGAGTGAGGACCCTGTAGTCAGACTGTCCACATTAGCATCCTGGCATTACCACATAGTAACTTTGTGGCCAAGAGAAAATGGCAATTTACTTGGGACTTGGTTTCTTGTGTACACAAGATAGGTGTTATTTAGGTATCTATCTCATAAAGTTGAAAAACTACATATTCAAGAGGAGTTTGGGTTCTAGAATTACATTCTATTTGATATATAAAATAGATACTCATTCATGGATGTATAAATGTGGTACTCATGTATAGACAGTCTTAAAAATAACTTACGGAATTAAAGGATCTGAACGATTTTTAAAGGGTCAGCCATCTTAAGAACATTCTCAATATCTTTGTTTTGGGGATTGAATGTACATATTGGTACCTCTTTCAGGATATACACCTGATAAAAGCACACATTAAGCCATTGCCAGTTCAAACAACACTTCATATGAATTTGAAAGAAAGCCTAGACAAGAAGCAGAATTGGAAGAGAATAATAAAAGCTAAAGTTTATTGGGCACTTGCTAATGCTCTAAGCCATCAAATATCAGGTAAGTTTTAGTGTGATTTCAATGGGTCATGAAAAGGACATTGCTGGGGAAGAGAAAAATCTCCAGAGAAGTAGGGTCCACGTATAAAACCACAGACACTTTTTTTTAATACTTGAAGTTCTAGGGTACATGTGCACAATGTGCAGGTTTGTTACATACATACACATGTGCCTTGTTGGTGTGCTGCACCCATTAACTCGTCATTTACATTAGGTATATCTCCTAATGCTATCCCTCCCCTCTCCCCTGACCCCATGACAGGTCCCGCTGTGTGATGTTCCCCACTCTGTGTCCAAGTGTTATTGTTCAATTCCCACCTATGAATGAGAACACACGGTGTTTGGTTTTCTGTCCTTGTGATAGTTTGCTCGGAATGATGGTTTCCAGCTTCATCCATGTCCCTGCAAGACAGGTATTAAAGCAATTATACCATATGAGATGTTGAGGTGGTTTAGAATGAAGAGCCTGGGAGTCAGACTGCCTGTAGTATTAATGGAATCTTGGCATCACCACATACTGATTTCATGAGCTTGGAAAAAATTACTTTATGTTTGTGACTTAGTTTCCTCTCTGCACAATATGTTTTCATATGTGAGAATTGGGTATACTATGAATTGATTAGAAGAGTTTGCTGATAGAAATTCAATAAATGTTAGCCACTAGTGCAGTCAAGAAGGCCCCATTCTCACAAAGGCCTGATGCTTAGGGTCACTATTTTGAAATTCTTAATGATTTCATCTTTTAATTTTTTTTTTTTTTTTTTTTTTGTAAGGGTAGTCAAATGGACAATGGAAAAAAAACGCTGAGAGACTTGAGGTCCCTGAAGCCTCCCCACCTTCCCAGAACAGATTCTCAGATATCCAATCAGCATTCCAAAGCTGTCCTCCACCCACTGCAAGGCCTGGGCACAGAGATGAGGCAAGATGGTGTTGGCCACATGCACTCTGGGGCATCTAGGTGGGGCCTGGAGGCAGCCAAGTCTATTCCCCAGGATGGCATGTTCAGTGGGCACCCTGATCCAGGAGCTGAGTGCGTCTCAAATGTGAAGGTTGCAATCCTTCAGGGGGCTCATCTGCTGCAGATTCTGGTAGCATGCCCGTGGGAAGGGGATATTGACTTTCCCTCCCTTGCCAGGGACACAGTGTATCAATCCAGCACTAATGCCACTAATAGTATGGACCACTGAGAGGTTGTAATCTGCACTCGCTCCGTAAGTATCCCATTCCGTGGGAGCATGACAAATAGCACAGAGAAGTTGAGAAAAAATAAATTCTGAACAAAAGAAGTTTTGTGCCTTAGTACCTTTAATGGCAGGTACTCTTTCCTGCTCTTTGAACTATACACTCTATGTTTTCACTTTTTAATGAGTTTTTAAAATTATGTAGTTGCTTATCTTAACTCCTAATTACTGAGTCTGTTAAACAAGTTTGTTTATATAATAGTTCTTGAGCCTGTAACATATGCCAAGAACTGAGAAAAAGGGAAACTGACAGGAAACCTGTGCTTGTCTAGGCTTTGATAGGTGGTGATGCACCTTGCTTTTGGCTTGCAAGGCATGTTAAAAACATTAAAAACTGCTGATGACTTTGTAAATTACTTGACTGATCTCTCCGTCTCTCTCTCTCTTAACGAGGGTTTGGCTGGAAATAGTTCTATTAGTAGAAACACTTAGAACAAGAATACAGTTGCTGAGAATTTACATTTGATTTATTCAGCAAACGTCATATAGAAACAGCTTCCTGACTTTGTTGGCTTAACACCATCTCCTCTCTTTGTTTTCAGCAAGGGCTATAATTTCTAATACTTCTAATAGTGTCTCAGGAATCAGAACTAATACAGAAAGAATATCAAAAGTAAATGCAGAGCAGCAAATAATCGCTTATACGAGAGACAGTGTAGAAGGCTGATGGAAAACCTTAAACAGTAGGACCATGGTAACATAATGAAATCAACTCAGTAAAATTATGCCATCTCATTGATGGCTAAAGGACCAGGGTTTCTTCCAAATTCAGGGCAATCTTAGTAAATGTGTTCATTTCATATTTAAAACAAAGGACATGAATAGTATTTTATTCCATGTCAAATACATAACATAATACTGGCTTTCTTTTCATATAATGGGTTCGCTTACTAGATAGAACGTGAATCTTTCAAGTGAGTTTTGAATTTTCGAATTGCAACTCAACACTAACTGTTTCAGTGAGTTAGGATTCTTTTGAACTAAGAATTATGACACATTTTAGGAGATAATTAGGAAAAACAAATCCAAATGGAACTAAATATCTAATAAGAAGCATAAAAGTTTACCTTAAGAGATACGTTTTCTTATTTTTCATCACTCTATGTGATTGTGTTCTATTCAAGGGTGGGCAAACTCTAGCCCATGGGCCAAATCCAGCCTGCCATCTGTTTTTATACAGCCTACAAGCCAAGAATCATTGTATTTTATGTGGTTAATAAAAAGAATATTATGTGACATGTAAACAATTCAAATTTTATTGTCTATAGATAATCATTTGTTTATGTATAGTCTATGTCTGCTTTCTCA